CCACCCCAGAACGCATTGACTTTTTTTTTTTTTCCCCTACAGCCAACCCAGCTCCTTGGCACTGCTGCCAACAACTTGGCAGAGCCACCAAAGCCCCTAAACACCGGGCAGGTGTAGGCTCTATCCCTAAAATAAACCACAAAGCATGGTTTTCATGGTGTGGGTAATTGCCTGCTCCTTAACACCGATGCCAACAAGTGAACGCTGAAGGTCACGGGCACACCTGTTGCCACAGTCGGCGAGGAGGGGGAATTTTTGACCTTCAGATGCCTTTGCTGCCCGCCCTGCCAGCACCACATGCCTGGGGTGATGCCTGTGCCAAGGCACTGCCTTGCTCCGGGGCTGTTTGCCCGAGCTCTCTCTGCCCAGGCCCGGTGATTGATTTCCCTCTCGTCGTGGCACCGTGCCCAGGTATGTCTGTCTCCCCAAGGCCTTTTGTCACCAGAGTGTTAACAATTAACCTACTGGGGCAGAAACAGAGCCAGTCCCCCCCCCCCCATAATTTAGTCTTAGTTAACCATTCAGCTGCTTATCTGAAAGTGACTTTTACTTCTGTTTAACTGGAAGGCAATTGCTGGCTCGTTTGGATAAGGCGACTGTGAAGAAACAGTGGTTGTTTTACAAATTACTGTGTTTACAACAGGAGTGCCCCGGTGCAAAGCATGGGTAGGAGGTGGCCATGAAGAGTTTAACCACCAGAGCTGGGGGGAAAAGGACGTTTCACCTCAGATTTCTTGCATCAGGCATCAAAAATATCGCTGTCTCTGAGGCAAGGCTGCTGCGGGAAAGGACCAAGGGGCTGCTGCAGTTGGATGGGATGGGGAGGTGGTGCAACATGGAGCGTGTGAAATCCCAGTGTCCCTGGTCAGAGGAGGCTGCCTGCACCCTGGTAAGGTGCTGGCATGGAGATGCCTACCAGGAAGGGAGTCTTGAATCAATCCAGGCAGACAAAGAAAGTCTTCTGAGCTTTTATTAACGCAGAAATGCCGGGGAATGTGAACTCGGCCCAGTGTTTGTTCTGGAGGGGTTTTCCTCTCCTTTCTGTCTGCAGAAAGTCCCTTCACTCGGGTTCCTGCTGTAACCTTGGGGCTCTGGGGAGGTGGAGGGAGGGCAGAGCTCAGCAAGGGCCCTGTGGCTCAGTGACTGCTGGGATGGATGGATGGATGGATGGATGGATAGATGGATGGATGGATGTCACTTGGGATTGATTTGGGTAGACCTAGTCCTTCTTGGGAGGTGAGTTGGACACAGCATCTCCTTGAGAGCCTGGCGAGGATGAAGACTGAGATGTTCCTGGTGCCTCTTCCCCACTGTAGATGGGATGTAACATCTAGAACATCTGGGAAGGGCAGTGGCTGGCAGGTGGCTCAATACTCCTGTTTTGGTTTCCTGCCTGCCTGGAGCCTCTTCACCCTCCACAGGCCAAGGGGAGCCACTTTCATCCCTTTACCATGGCCTGGGAGTGTCTTCCAAGCCCACCCAGCCATGCTGAGGGTGACTCCTCTTTCCTTCTAAAGGACAGACTTGGGAATGAAGCACTGCTAAAGTAGAGCCATTCAGCTTCCCTCAGCCTCCCTGTGCTCATGGACTGCCAGTTCCTCTCACTGGGAATCACCCAGTTTTAGTTCACATTCCCGTGGGAGGGAGGTTGTTATTATGGAGTCGTAGAAACTCAGAATGGTTTGGGTTGGAAGGGACCTTAAAGATCATCTCCTCCATGGGCAGGGACACCTTCCACTACTCCAGGTTGCTCCAGGCCCTGTCCAACCTGGCCTTGGACACTTCAGGGAGAGGCAGCCACAGCTTCTCTGGGCAACCTGTGCTGGGGCCTCACCCACCTCGCAGCCGAGGATTTCTTCCTCTTATCTAATCTAACCCTGCCCTCTGCCAGTTTTAAAACCATTTCCCCTCATCCTATCACTACAGAGATTAAGATATTGAAGGAGAAGAAATGTGCTGGGCAAGTTTTTAATCACGTATTCCTCCAAACCTGGAAGGAGAAAAAAAAAATGACCCTCCCTCCCTGCACCAGAGCTCTTCCTGTGCTCAAAACTTGCTTTCACAGTTCAGCTGAGGAACAACCAGTGTAAAACCTGACTGGGAAGAGGAGCTTGCCAGGAGATACAAACCCAAGAGCTGTTGTTCTCAAAAAAAATGGCCCTTTTTGGCAAACAAAGCTGTACTGTCGGGGATCTGTTGGCACTTCTGGCACCTCCTTAATAACACATTTGTGAGGCTTGTCCTTGTGCTCTGTTTATCAGGCCCTGGGTTTGCAGTAAACATAAGCTAATAACAAGGTTTTTCTTTCAGAATATTTTGTTGGATGATTCCCAGTTAAAAGAAATCGCTTGTTGTTGTGTTGGCCTCTTTTTTTTTTTTTTTTTTGGTTGGTTGGGGTTTTTTTCCCTTTTAAAGCATCAGACTTTCCAGTGACCTCATCCTGCCCTCAGAGAGTCAATGTAAAACGTGCAAATGTCACCGTGAAATTTACCCAGTGAGGGAAAGGTAACCTGGATTTCTCCTCTGCTGGCTGGGGAGTTCTGTGTGGAGACAATGCAGCCTCTGCCTTTCCCTCAGTCTGGAGCTGAGGCCCTTCCAGCACACCCCTCCCACGGTGGCTGCTGTCCCACAAAAAGAAGTCACAGCCTATAAGGGTCCCAAAGCCACTGAAAAGCAGGTTACTCCTAAATTAGCAGAGCAAAAAAGCCTTCCCTTGACTAACAAAATCCAAAGGGTGTTGCTCACACCTCCTCATGGCTCCCTAGCCCAACCAAGCCTCCAGGTGCCCAGGAGGCAGCTGGATTGACCCCTGGGCATTGTGCACTCACAAACTGTCTGTGATGCTCTTTGGGAAGTGCCTTTAGGATGTGACCACTGTCCACATCCACAGGAGCTCTGCCAGCTGGCTGCAGGTGTCGGCTCTGTGTCCTCTCCCTCTCTGGCACAGCTGTTTGCCCTACCTGCCCACCAGCCACGTGACATTCGAGCTGTATTTTGGACAGGACAAGGTGCTGGAAAGAGGGAGGAGAAGCCTCCAGAAATTCCAGTTTAATAAAAAGCAAAGTTGAGCAGCACAGCCCCTGCTTTAACCTTTTAAATACTTCTCCATTCCATTATTAGTGCAAATAGCAAGACCCCCTGAGACACCACACAGGAGCTGAGCTCTAGACCTAAGCTTGCTCTCCAGGGAAATAAACCCAGGTCTCCTGCTTTTCTCAGGGAGGGCTCAGTGAACATCCCTACCCCAAGGAGAGGGAAAACCTCACTGAAATGGGGGGTTTCTTCATTCCCCTTCCTGCTGGCCCTGCCTGAGCTCCTCCATCCCTGAACCTCTCTCCAAGGGGCATCACATTTGTTATCCCATCCAAGGAAAAACCTGCACCTCCCACTTCCCTTATTTCCTTAAATAAGATTTTTCACCTTTGGGTAAAAGCTGATGAAGAGCATCCAGACGTGTGAGAATTGGTCCAAAAGAAAATTGTTCCCAGGACAACCCAGCTCTCTTGACTTGGTCAAAGACAGCTTTTAAAACCATTATTTGCACGTTATCCACTTCCCATGGCCTGGTTTTGGCCAATCCAAGGCACAGCCTAAGTAAGAGTAAGATGGAGAAGGGGAACAAAAGTTTAAAAGAAAAGTTAGGATGACACCTGGACAGAAGCACCTTTCTAAAATCTCAAGCCCATGGGAGCAACACTCCCAAAGGAAGAGATGGAGAGCGCGTTGTTTAAGCCCTGTTGAATCATCCCTAAGAGATGGGCTGGAGAGAGGAATTGGATGAGCTACTGGTGGACCAGGGATGGGGGAATCATATCCCCATGGCAACACAAACTTGATCAAACCTGGGAAAGGTGACAGAATTAATCCAACCTTGGGAACTGTAAATGGTTGTGTGCGACCGATGCCACAGAGCTGTGCCAAATAAAACCCACCCAGACTCCCTCCCCTGGAGCACCCAGCCCTTGGGCTCAGAAGCTTTAAGAGAAGCTCTTTTGGAGGGCAGTGAGTGGGATTTGGGGGGGAATCAGTGCTTCTCCAAGGGGGTGTCGTGGGTGGGAGTGGAAAGCTGAGACAAAATTTATTTTAAAGGCCCTGCCATTGAGTCACAAGGTGCAGAAAGGACTCCCTGGCTTTCCAAACTCCTGCTCAGAGAGGAGTCCAGGTCCAGGTGAATCCAATCTCAGCCTTGGATTATGTCAACAGTTTAAGGAATTACAGAGATGTGACTGAACCACTTTTGTCCCACAGCTTTTAATGACTGGCAAAATGAGACTATTTATGTAAAATGAATCATTTATTTTATACAAATGATCAGACAAAACATCTTACTCAGAATTATTTACTACACAATATAAACACTAAAACTACCAGTATAGCATAAGATAGGACAGTGCACTACACTGAAGCAATTATTGAAGCAGTTATATTAAAGCTGGCAAAATGAAATAATTATTAAGCAGAGATCTGATTTAACTCCCCCAGCCCAACACTTGTGGGGAGATCTCTGCTCTCAACCTTGAGAAGTGACCTTGGGGGGTATCCCCAGCCAAGGGAGGAATCTCCACACACCTCCCAAGAAGGGTTATGTTGGAAGAACCCGACTTTATGAAAGGGGACTGGACTTGTATGAAGTGATTGAGTGCCAGTCACAAATTTCCAGGCCAGCTCCCAGCTTACCTGTCACACCTGATGCCAAAAAGCAGGATGTGTGTTTGGAGTTTGGTGAACCAGGCTGCTTTCAGCCGAATTCGACACCAAGAACATCACCATGGTGCCACTGCTGACACATCACAGAGAGCTGGCACCAGGGCTGGCACCGTCTGCGTTCTCCGATTGGATTTTAGGCCTTGCTGGGGTAGGGCCCTCCTGCCACAGGGGAGAGGAGGGCAACCCCCTCATCTGCTCCGTACGGGACACCGGGACATGGTTTCGATCCGCAAAGGGGGTGGTGGGTAAAAGGCCCCTCTTTAACGGCCCTTTCCTCTCCCCCCTGCTCGCAGTGCCACTGACCTGTGCCTCCAGCTCGCCTCGACGCTGCCATGGCCACGCTAGAGGCGCTGCCCGTCCCGAGTGACCCCACCTACGCCAGCCCGCCGAGCTTCCACGGATTCGCCGCCCGGCCCCCGCGACCCGCCGGCCCCAGGAGCGCCATGGGGAGCGTGGGCAGCGGCGTGGCCAACGACCAGGAGTTCGCCATGAAGAGCGTGGGCACCCGCACGCAGGGCAGCGGCCGCCAGGCCTCCGAGGGCTCCCGCAACGGCTACGCCGCCCGGGAGATCTCCAACCGCTACTCCGGCGAGGAGAAGACCTACAAGTCGGAGAAAGTCTCCAACTCCCTCTACATCAACGGCGACCTGCGCAAGGGAGAGAAGGTGAAGGTGGACATCTGCGGGAACGTGACCGCCAACAACGAGAAGAACCTGCCGCCTCCTCCCCAGTACCGAGAGCCCGGTAACCCACCAAAGATATTGCCAATCTCCGGCAAACTCGACCAGGTGAGACCCTCCACCTCCTGCAGCCGCTTCCTGGAGGCCACGGCACGGCCCTGGAAACGCACACCGGGAAGCCCTGGGCAAAAAAAGCAATCCTGGCAGATAGTCCAGTTCTCACTCTGTACGTTTTGTGTACGGATAGTACCGTTCTTATCACTTTCAGGGCCAAAGTTAGTTCTTGAGGAACCCAAGAGCATGATCACAGTGAAGTGTTCAGCTCAGTTAAACCTGTATTTAAGTCACTTGCTCTTCCAGCCTCCCTGAGGTGCTGTGCCTACCTCCCTGATGGACTGGGGAGGGAGATGGAATCAGCTCTTGTTTCAGTAGGTCCAACATCTGAGTCGCACTCTTACGTTTGTACCCTTTATAGGCAATCTCTGCCACCTAAAGCTGCGGCTTGAAAGCAGCTCTGAGCATCTGTTCAAAATCCCTTGTGAGGGACAAGGTGACAAGGCTTGAAACTACCCCTGTAAACATTATGACCCAGCCCAGCCCAGTCCTTGTGGCTCATTTTGGCTTCAGGGAGCGAAATCTGCCAGGCCTGGAGGAGGGGGAGGGCTTTAAAAGGCTTTAAAATCCTTCCTAAATCCCTGTGGTCCATCTTCCCCCCTGCATCACTTATTCCCACAGAAAACACAAATATTCCAGTAAAGAGCAGCTTCAGCATGTTCCTTGCCTGGAGTCACTGCTGGGGTTACAGCTCCTATCTGCTCCCATCGGAGCATAAGCAGGACACAAAGTCCACCCAGGAAGAGATCACTCCCAGCAGGAGGGAAACATGATTCTCTTGGGGCAAAATAGCTGCCAACCCAAGGGCTCAATTTGGTTTTCAGCAACAGGGCGATGCACCCTCGAGGCTGAGAGTCTTTCCAAATACAATCAGCCAAAATCAGAGTTGTTTGGATCAGGTCTGGTAGGCAAGTGGCAGCCCAAGGAGTATTTTGGGGGGTAAATCATGCAGGTTTGGGGGTGAGTTGAGATTATTTCTTTTTATTTGGGGCGAGGGAACACACAAGGTGATGTCCTGCCCACAGGTCCCTCCTGTACAACCCCAAATGGCCCAAAAGGTGCAACGTGGAGCCAGCCCAAGCTGACATGACCCCCCCCAGCCCCGCCCCGTGCCGATGTGTCTCTCTTTGTTGTGTCGTTACCGAGCCTCCTGCTGTGTTTGACGCGTGGTCCTTTTTCCTTTTTGCAGAGCAATGAGCCCTTAGTTAGACCCTCAGCCTTTAAGCCAGTAGTTCCTAAAAACTTCCATTCCATGCAGAACCTCTGCCCGCCGCAGAGCAACGGGATGACGGAGAACAGGAAGAGCTTGAACCACGCCAACAGCAATAGCCCGTCCGCCCCCAAAGCTGGGCTCGACAAGGGCAGCCTTAACAGGACTACAAACCAAGGGGGGGGGCTCTCGGATTCGGGGCGCAACTCCCTAACGAGCCTGCCCACCTACGGGACGGGCTACAGCCAGCACGTGGGGCCCATGAGCGCCTCCACCAGCCACATCAACCGCATCGGCACCACCTACGTGGAGAAGAACATCGTGGGATACAACGGGATATCTACCTCAGACAGCGGGCGGTCCTCCAGCAAGAGCACCTCCTCCTTCAGCAGGCTGAACCATCTCAACGAGACCATGCCTTTCCACTCGCCTTCCACCGACGACATCATCCAGGACCTGGAGGACCGGCTGTGGGAGAAGGAGCAGGAGGTCCTCCAGATGCGGAGGAACCTGGACAAGAGCGAGGCGGCGATCTTCCAGGTGTTCGAGGAGAAGCAGAAGATCTGGGAGAGGGAGATGGAGGACCTGAGGCAGAACTACGCCAACAAGCTGCAGCAGGTCTCCAAGAAGGCGCAGCGGGCTCAGCAGGCTTTGCAGCTCCAAATTTTCAAGCTCCAGCAGGAGAAAAAAAAACTCCAGGATGACATGGGGCAGCTCCTCCAGCAGCGAGAGGAGCTGGAGAAGAAATTTGTGGCTTTCAAGAAGGAGCAGGCTGAGTTTCTCCCAAAGATCGAAGAGACCAAGTGGGAGGTAAGAGCCTCGTTGTAACAGGTTTTCATCAAAGGTTCTGGTAGCCTGAAGTACCTCCCATGTGCCCTAAAGTGGACCCCACAGATAATGGCTATGGGTTGGTGGCCTCCAGGTATCAGATGACGCTTGTCACCTCATTTGTCCAAGTCCCTAACTTGTTGTTTTCCATTAAACTAAAATAAGCCCAACTTTCTGTGCACACCTCCTGTGCTGGTTAATGATTTGACTTTGCAGTTCTGGTCACTCCAACTTGTGACATTTAAATCCAGTCTCAGGGAACACAACTCTTTCCATACAGGTATTTGTGCCTACCGAAATCAGGCTTAAATCTGCTTTAATTAAATTCTTGTAAGGTCTGCGTTTGGGCAAACCTTGAAACTGCTTTTCAAATATTTGATTTTTTTTTTTTCTTGTGCTGAAGATAAAAAGCAACTGAGCTAAAAATTATATCAATGGCCAAGTCTACCTCATGCTTTCCATTGCAACACGCTGTTTTCAGTTCTTAATAAGTTTATCTCTCTTAAAAGGCTGAAAGGCAAATTCCTCTTTCTAGTTCTCCTGTTGAGTTCTACATATTTTTTTCCTACTGTTTCTATTTTTAGAACATTTTATCAAAGTCTGTTTGTATAGCCAGTGCTTGCATACCTTTTTTTTTTCCAGCTTGATCATGCGAAGAATTTTAATCCTTCCATGGACTGGCTAGAAACTTTAAATTTATTAAGAGTGGAGAGGCAAAACGTAGCTCTAGAATCAAGAAGACCCTATTCTGCTAATCCTGATGGGAAGCTGATGAAGCTGGGATTAATTAGGCTCTGAAATGTGCTTTTGCAGATGTTCAGCAGAGCTTATTAGAGGCTTGTTGTAAAATCTCTGCATGTTACATCCCAGGATGAGGGGGCTGCACTGTCCCTCCTTCGGCCACCTGCTCTGCCCAGCTCTGTTAAGGGACCTGAAAGACCATCTAATTCCAAGCTCCTGCCCTGGGCAGAGACATCTCCCACTAGAATAGGGTGCTCCCAAGCCCTGTCCTTGAAGCCTTGAACACTTCCAGGGTTCTATAGGAGTCTCTGGGAAGGAAGGCATCATAGCATGAGTAAGTAACATCATCCTGTCCTACTCTCCCAGTGCTTGGGGAGAGCCTGGGTGGTCCCTGGGTCTGAGGTGTTTCTGTCTCAGGCTTATTCAAGGTCCAGATCCCACTGAGGTCAGTGGGAAAAGTCCTGCTGAGAGCAGAGGGTTTGGGGTTGAGCACCACAGGCCTGTGGTTGGGTGAGTAAGACAAATGCAAGGAGGGAAGAGGCATCGCTGTCTCACAGCACTTGGCTCAGCTGCTCGGACAACTCCAGCTGGGAGCAGCATCGGGTCCCTGAAAAGTCCCAAGTTTCTGCAGGGAAAAAAACAACACAAAATCTCCCCCACAGGTGTGGGGACAGCCTTTAGGTCTTTGGCGTGGTCTGGGGCCTGGTGAAGGCTGGAACTCAGTCCTTGAGAGGGGTTTGTTTCATGGGCAGCACTAGGGCCAAGCAGGGGCCGTGGCTCCTCGCTGCCGTCCCCCAACCTCACGGATGCTCTTCCCACAGGTGTGCCAGAAGGCAGGCGAGATCTCCCTGCTCAAGCAGCAGCTGAAGGACTCCCAGGCAGACGTCTCCCAGAAGCTGAACGAGATCGTGGGGCTGCGCTCGCAGCTCAAGGAAGGCAAGAACTTCCTGCGGGAGAAGGAGGAGCAGATCCTCACCCTGAAGGACTCCTACAGCTCCAAGAGCGTCAACCTGGAGATCTGCGAGGGCGAACTGCAGCGCAAGATGAGCGAGGTGCAGGTGCTGAGGGAAAAGCTGAACCACTGTGAGCTGGAGGTCTCCGGCCTGAAGCGGACGCTTGCCAGCATGGGACCCCCGGGGCCCTTCGGGGCCGACCTGGGCGAGAAGCTGCGGGACCCGCTGGCCTGCGAGAGCGACGAGGCCAAGATGCAGCGGCAGAGCGAGGACAGCGTGAACTCCCTGCGGAAGGAGGTGGAGCGGCTCCAGACGGAGCTGAAGCTGGAGCGGCAGCAGCGGGAGCAGCAGGTGATGGACTTCGAGGAGGAGCGGCGCACGTGGCAGGAGGAGAAGGAGAAGGTCATCAAGTACCAGAAGCAGCTGCAGCTGAACTACGTGGAGATGTACCAGAAGAACCAGCTCCTGGAGCACAAGGTGAACGAGATGAGCACCAAGGCCACCAGCCCCCCGCACACCGAGGAGAAAAAGACGTGGACGCCCTCCAGGCTCGAGCGAATAGAGTCCACCGAGATCTGAGGGGGGGCCACCGCCACGACACAATGAGATTTTTTTGTTGCTGTGCATGTACTACCTACTCAAGCCAGTGATCTTCCGAAGGATAACGCGCTACCGCCGGGGCTGGGGGAGCCTGCTCTGCTCCCAGCCGAGCTCCACCACCCTTGCTCTCCACTTCTGTGCTCTGTAGGTAAAATAACTGTGGACGTGCGTTGGTTTTCTATCGATGACGCGACATCTCTTTTGGGTTTTCTTTCCTAGTACAGCTGGTGAGAGTCAGTTGGCTCTTTCGTTATCTGCTGTGACTGTTACTCCACTGGAGGCTGCCACCCCCTCCCCTACGAATCACCCCTCCTCAGTCAGTTGTTTTGGAGGGTTGCATTCGGTCTCTTTGGTTTTCCGAGCGTTTTCGCGCAGCGAAACAGTTCGAAGTGGCAGGTTGGTTGGTTTGTTTGGGTTTTCTTTTTTTCTTTTAATTATTATTTTTCCGGGATGTTTTTAGCCACATTGGCTAACGGAGCAAAGCTCTCGGGATGAGGAGCAAACTCACTGTTCTGCATCAAGCACCCTGTTCCAGACGATGGTCTTAGTGAAATCAGTGTGAGGTTGGCCACTGATTTCAGTGAAACCAGACACATCTCTGCCAGACGACTCCCTCTTGCCAGCCCATGGCTACCATGGTTGCAAGAGGTTAGGACATCCTTGAGGAGCAGGATGAGCCTGTCCTGGTAACAGAAGCCAACAAGGAATGATCTCCCAGCAGGAGCCTCTCTGGGGGCTCAGCAGAGCTGCGTTTTCATTTCCTTGTGGTTTCCTCCTGCGGTTCCACTCCTCTCCCGGGTTGTGTCTGACCCTGGGAGCAGAAATTCCCTCCCACCTCTGCCTTGGTCCCCTTACTCTTACTGTACAGCCAAGCTGGCTACAGCAAGAAAAAGGCTTGGAAATCCAAGCTGATTTCCCTTCCCAAGAGCCCTCTTACTTCCCAAAGTCAATGGGATCAAGGTTTGGGGAAGCCTCCAAACCTGTGGGATGTTTATGCAAACTGAAGCTTTAGCAATTTGCCCCAATACTGGGCAGTTGTGCCACCCTGTCCCCGAAGGAGTGATGCTTCGGGGCACTCTCTTGGTCCAGGGCCTACCTAAAAACAGCATCCAAGCCTCACTCAGGAGCTGCAGGGGGCACATCCTAGCTGGATTCCAACGGGGCGAGCATCAGCCTTCAGTACAGCCATTCCAAACAGCACCCATGGCCATCCCACGCGGGCATCACGCATTCCAGGGATGGAGATAACGCAGGCCTAGCTTAAGAAAACACTCAGCTACTAATCCTGAGCATGAATTCAGTCCTTAAGGAGGGAAAAATGCTTAAGATCACGCAAGTGCTTATGCCCTGGCAGAACAATAACCAAATCCTACGTGCACAGTCACTGAGGCAGCAGAACCCGGCTCTCGGCTTGAAAACGTGGGCAAAGTGGGCTCAGTTCTCCCTTTCATGGACCATTTTTTTACCGTGATTTACAGTAAAGAGAAGGAAAATGTTTCAAAGTGGAGTTTGCACAGACTGGGCAGTGGCCCAAGGATCAAAAGGAGCAGGGAATTTGGGCTCTTTGTCCTAGGGAGAAGACAGAAGAACAAAGCTAGAATTAGCACTGGACACCTGGGAATGTCTGTTGGGTGACTCCAGATCACATTCCACGTGCACAAGAAGGAAGTACCTCAGGCTGTTGAGGGGCTGAAGACCTTCCAAGCAAAAGCCCTTGAACCTGCACATTTTCCATGCTCCCTTTCTGAAAAGCTCCCCTCTTCATCACCGGGTCTGACCTTCAGTTTGGGAGCAAACGTTGCTGTGGTGAGCTCCAGACTGAGCAAAGAGAGAGAGGAGACTGCAGTTAGTCCCACCAACCACGGCCATCAGGCAGTGCTCCTGATGGCCAGGAGCTGTTGGTGGCTGGCAGAGATCCCTGGAACCTCTAGAAAATGGAGATGTGCAATGAGACCAGGGCATTTCAAGACCCCAGTTGATGGTTCCTGTCTTCTCCCACCACTTCTGCCCGTTGCCTTTGGAGCTGGAGGAAGACACAACTCATCAGTCTGAAAAACACAGGGGCAGCTCAGGCTAAGCCCCTCTCCCAGGACCAGCCATAAAAAGGGAGTTAGGTTGGGTCTGAGTCCCAGTGGGTGTGGAAAAGAGTCCAAGAGGGACTGAGCTTCCAGCTCTGCTGTTGAGGATGTTCACATCACAATTCCCTGCTGCGTTAACACTCAGGAGCAACCGGCACTGGCATCACCCTGTGGGACACCTTCTCTCCAGAGCTGCTTCCCAATCCATGGGCAGGAGAAGCAGGGGCTTGTGTGGCCTCCCCACAGACCTGGGCCCAGCCCCCAGCAGTCAGCCAGGTCCTCCAGTGTGCCAGGTTTTCCCCATTGTCTCTTTTTGCTCGATCTTTTTTTGCAGTGGTACCAGGAATGAGTGTCTTGAGGGATCCAGTGAAACCTGGAGGTAACACGGGGGTGCTGGACTGCCCAGGGGCTCGATGGCCTCACAGTGCATCCATCAGGAACTGCTTGGGATGGAGCAGGAGCAGCAACGAGAGGTTTTTCACCTTGGAGGAGGAAAGGCCCACTCCTTTCACGTTCTTCTTTGCTGCATCACTTCAATCAACAGTTTCGACCCAGATCTGAGGGACCTCAATTTGTGGACGTTCCCTGGATGACAGAGCCTTGCAGACACCCATTAAGAGACTCTGCTGCTGGTGGTGGTTTTCCCTCTCTTGGGATTCACCCAGGAGTCCCCCAAGCACTCCAGCAGAAACCCTGTGCTCTGGTGACATAAAATACAGATGGTTTTGGCAAGTTCCCCAGCCAAACTGCCCCAAAAGGATTCCTGGGCTTCGGGATTCCTCCCCACAACTGGATGCACTGCTCCCCATCTCGTCCTCTCCCCTGTGCCAGCCCTCTGCTCAGCAGAGATGGAGCAAAACGATGGTGGGACACCTGGATTCCTGTTGTTCGTGCCCAGGTGGGAGCTCACCTGGCTCCTCCCAGCTTTCACACGCTGACTGGATGAAGTCTCCCATCCCAAACTAGGTCTGTGTTGAGGCTCTGGGGTCTCAGCCTTGGGGTAAAATAGCCAAGGGGTGCCAGACTGGCGTTTTGGTGACACGTCCTGGGAGTGGCCGAGGAGGCTGGCATCGTCTCTTGGAGACTCAGGCAGGGCTGATAAAAGGTTTCTGTCCCATGAAACTCCACACAGAGTGTGGGCCTGACCACAACCCAGCTGTCTCCTCCACCTTGGAGCTAATGGAATTCGGCTCCCAGTGACATCCTGGCTCGTGTGTAATTCTCCAAGTCCTGCCCCCAAAGTCATCTCTAACTTGCCACTGGCCACCGCCACGAGCTGCGGCCACGAGGGTCTCAGGTCACTTGCCCCACAGAGGGGATCCACAGACATTAGAGATGCTCTGGGACACCTGACACAGGGGGCTGGGCAATATGATCCAAGATTGGAATGGGCTGCCCAGGGAGGTGGTGGAGTCACCGTCCCTGGAGGTGTTTAAGAACAGGCTGGACGTGGGCACTCGGTGCCATGGTCTGGGTGACAGGGTGGTGCTGGGTCACTTGCTGATCCCAGAGGTCTTTTCCAACCCAGTTGATTCTGTGATCCTTGGGAGAGCCAGGCCAGTGGTGGAGCAGCTCTGGTGTCACACCACCCACTCACACACACAGCCAAGTCACACTCCAGGCACATCCACAGGGCAAACAGAGGACACTGCTCAGCTCCAGAGACTTCCATCCACGAGGGTGGGGGCTAAGCAGGCTGTCCTGGTGACAGGGAAGGTCTCACTCCTTGCTGTGAGCAGCTTTGCTCCACCACCATTCCCAGGATGTCAGAGCCAGGCTGTGCTTATTCCAGCACTCCCATCTCACCCCGAGGGTGAAACCACAGCCATGGCACGTTGTTGTGCCTCACACAGTCCCACTGAGCTTCTGCCACCGTCTCACAGCACCATTCCTGCTGTCGCTGGCGCCGTGCCGGGGGGAGATCCCTCACCTCCGGGTTTCCACGCTCCAGAGGGGAATCCCAGTGTTGCTCTTGGCGCTGCTACGTCACACAGAGGGAAGTGTTCTTGGGTGTAAATCACAGCCCAGCTCTGTATGTTCAGTGATTAAATGGAGACCAGAAGGCTCTGTGGCTTCTCTCTGGGTGAGTGGGACCACACCATGCAGTGTTCACGTGGAGGGTGCTCAGCACTGGGTGGCAGTGGGAATCAGAGGCTCAGCCCCTCCCAGAAAAGCAATCCCCTCAGGACTGACTCCAGCAGCCTGGTATCACTCTGTCCTGCTTTGTTGCTGTCACCCTGTGCCAGGATTTGCTGTTGTCCCCTGGTTAAAGCTGAAGTCCCCTCTGCCCATGTTGTGTCACACAGACAGTGGCTCCCAGTGGTGTCCCCATGGAGCTCTGCCCATGGAAAAGACCATCCTGCCCCATTCCTGCCCTTTCCAGTGGCACTTTATAGCTTGTTCACGAGCAACATGACCAAAGATCTCTGGAGGGCGTTGGACTGCAAGCTTGGAGCTGTGTCCCAGCTTTCCTGGGGAGAGATGGGCTGGAAGAGGGGAATGAGAGCTGGGAGAGGACAGGAGAGGGTGTGGATTTCCCTGTGTCCCACCTGGGAATGTCTGCAGGTCCATGAGGGGCCTTTCCTGTGCTAGACAGGACAGGATAGAAAGGAGTTGGTCACACCAGTATCCTCCACGGCCACACCACGCAGCTCCATGCATTGCCCAGGGAGAATGTGGACCAGGGACTGTTCCCTGGAGGAGGATGGATGCAATTCCCTTATTTCCATGGGAAGAAGGGAGGTGCATGCCCAGCCACAGGTGTCCTCTAGTGACAGGTTTCCTCTAGCTTAGAAGCAGACAATGCTACAGGGTCCAGTCAAGGACTCGTTCTGGATCAGTGGGAATGGTGTTCAGGCGGGTCTGGGCACTGGACAGATGCCTTGTCACCATGTCTCTGCCCCCCAGCTGTGGTCAGCCTTTTCCAGCCCATTCCTGGGATGGGAGAGGGTCCAACCACCGTTAATTTAACCCAGCCCTTCATCCTAAGCCTTGAAACCCCTTGATAAGAGTTACTGTCCATCAAAACCCCTCGCTAAAGATCTTCTCATGCGCTGCCTGTGCCCTGCTGCTCCTCTGCCCCAGCTCTCCAGACTCCTTTTAGATCCTCCCCATCCCACTGGAGCAACCAGTGACTCTCCCAGAACTCTCCCAGGTACATCTGAAAGTGGAGCTGGAGCCCACAGCCCCCACTGAGAGTGACACATCCCAACCCTGCTCCTCAGAGGAGCTTTCCAAGACTGCTGGTTTCCAGACCTCTCCTCTCCATCATTCCCGTGGCAGCTCCATCAGTCCTGCTTTACCTCCAAGAGCAACTTGGCTTCCTGCTGGAGGATATTCCCAGGAGATCCTTGCACGGGGCTTCACACCATCCCAACACCCCCCCACCCCCCACCAGCTCTGGGGCTCCCTGTTCCTTCCACCCTCTGGAAAAGCAGGGCTGTGAGGGGCCCTAGAGGTCTGTAGGGGCAACACAGGACCTCCCCTAGTCTATTGAGGGGTTGGGATCTCACCCAGCTGTTTGCAGATATTGGTTTCCCAATAGGATGCTCCACCAGAAACAATTTTCAGGATAATCCTCCTCCCTGCTTCTCCTGCTTAAGGGGATCGTGTCAGGTCTGGAGCCTGGGACAGGGTTGTGCCCTCACAGCTCTTTCACAGATCTGTTTTCTCTGTCAGAAAGTCTCTGCTTTCTGTCCCAAAGCAATAGCTTTTTTCTAGGGAGATTTCAAAGGGACTCTTCCCAACTCTGATACCTGCAGGGAAGCCAATATTCCCTTGAATACCTTCACAGCTCCAGCCCTGGGCTCTCCTCCTCCAGAAAGGGATGGGAGGTCCAGCCTGGCTCCAAACAACCACCAGTCTGAGCTTGGTGGTCCCATTCAGCCCAGAGCTGCCCTTACCTAGTGGGCCACCAGCCTGGGCCCCCAGGAGGTGTCATCCATCCCCTCCTGGTCCCATCCCATGGCTGTCCCTGCAGGTTTTCTCCACGTGGGAGCCACTGGGGTGTCTGAGCTCGGAGAGCCACAACCAGACACCAGTGGGAGACTGTGGCTCTGCCATTCCCGAGAGCCAGGCTGCCCTCCCTGGGGGAGAAGGTCCCTTTCCCTCCAGAGGTGACTGAAAGGAGCAGAACACCCCCAGGCAGAGCTCCAGCACCGGTGCCGGAGCGTCCCAGCACCGGTGCCACACAATGCTGCACACACACCGTGTCTATGCAGTCCCTTTCCAGGCAGGGGGGGTCCCTGCAGAGCCCACCCCAGGGCCAGGGCTCCTCCAAGGTGTCTTTGTTTGCACTCCCTGGGACCTGGAATCGCTGTGAGCCGAGGGCAGCCCCTCTCGGCCTGTGCCGCGCTCGGCAGGGTCCCTCGTCCTAAACGCGTCGCCGAGTCGCCCGTGTCCTGCGTCTGTCCTCCAGCAGATCCATAGCTGTCCTCCCTGATCCCCAGATCCCCAAATCCCAGCCCCCAGGTCGGGCCTGAGCGAGCCTGCTGTCCCACTTCACCAGCAATAACAGCCGGGGCCCCCCGGCCCCGCTCGGCCGCCGGGCTGTGTCCCTGCAGGACCTCCTGCATCCAACCCTTTGTCCAATTCCAGGCTTCCCCCACTGTAAATTCGACCCCAGCCTCGTGCTCTCCACCCTCCTGTTGGTTTCTCTCTGCTCTGACTGTGAACTCAAACCAGAAGTGTTCTGAACTCGACTCCGTCACTGTTCTGTTTCTGCGTCGACTGTTGCTGGTTCTCCGAACTGCGTTTGATGAGACTTTGCAAAAAAAAAAAAAAAAAAAATCTAAAAAAAAAAAATCTAAAAAAAAAAACCTTAAAAAAATATATATATATATATATATATACTTTAAAAAAATAATAAAAATATTTAAAAAAGAACTCCATAAAGTTGGGTGTCTCTCCTGTCCACTGGTCACTTCCGAAACACCGTTGTCTCGACTTTGCCTCTGGGTTTATAAATGTATTTAAAAGACAAGAAGTTGGGGGGGAAAAAAAAAAAAACCAAAAAGAAAAAAAAAGAAAAAAAAGAAGTAACACGCAGCATTCCGGGATTTTTGTACAGCAAAAGGTGTATCTGTTTTGGAAATTCTTGTTAAAACTCTTACCACACTTCCCAGTTTCCTGCTGGTCTGTTGTTTGTCTCCATTGGGTTTATCCAGATGTGAAGAGCTACTGCCTTTGCCATTTTCTACGGTGAATATATAAATATATCTGTACAGAGGTATGTATATATATAAATAGACATGCAGATCTATATGTATACGTATCTCCAGCTCTCCTCTCTCTACCTGACTGTGAAGGATTTTTATTGGGCAAAATAAAAAATGGAGAAAGGCCCCGTTTTAAAAACAGGACTGCGTGGTTTGTCTGATTGTTGTTGGGGGTGGGAGAAGGTGGGGGAGAAAAGGGGATGGATTTTGGGATGGACCCACACCTGGGCTGGGAAGAACCTCAAACCCTGGACATACCAGCACCATCCAGTGTGGAGATTCCATCCTCGAGGATGGAGAGCTGGTGTTTGGAGTGGGAAGGGAAGGGTGGAGGTGGCCGGGAGCAGAGCAGGATGCTGTGTGTGTGTCCATGTCCAGGTGGGATGTTCCCCTGTCCAAGGGCACAAGGGCTGCTCGTGCACTCCAAGCACTTGGGAACAAGCCACAAGGCCACAGGGATGGAAAACACGCCAGTCTTGGTGGTCTCACCTCAGCTCAGACCCCCAGGGACGTGTCTGGATCCCTTGGGAACGTCCCAGGGCTGACTGAGACAGGCTTCCATCAGTCCCACAGCCCAGCTCCAGGACCTCCCAACATTCAGAGCCTGAATTGCCCCCAAGCCAGGTGAAGACCTGAGGGATTGACTTCCAGGTGAGGACACACTGGGGAAAACAAGATCCAGGTGGAGATGCCTTGGAGCCAGCTGGAATGGTGAGAAGGCGATTCCCCTTCTCCCCCATGCCAAGACCTTGCTTGGAAGGTCCCCACCACAACCCCCACCACCCCTGCAAGAGCTCTGGGGGTTCCCCAATTTCCCCACCGCGGGCTGAAGGGGCTGGAAAACAGTCAAAATGCATCGAATTTGTGCTGGATCCTGGATGGTCGGGGTTTGGAAAGGAGGACGATGCCAGGGAGCGTTTGGATGCAGAACCCAGGCTGAATGAAGTCCACTCCACCTTCCCTCACCACCAGGCAGGTAACACCTTGTCCAAAACCTCCTGCAGGTTTTTACTCCGAAGTGTCCCATCCAGCTGCTTGGTTAAAGGTGCACATTAAAGCAACGTTCAGATCATTAGTTTTCTAAAAAAAAAAACCCAGCAATTCCAGCACTTTTCCCAAATGCAGTTTTATTACAGAGGTCTCCTGCCCTCTGGTGACGAAGCTGATGCTTCCCAGGGCAAAGTGAACCGGGGATTCCAGGAGTTCCACGAGGTGCCATCATCAGCCGATCAGGCTCTCCGACTCCCTCTGGAGTCCTGGAAAGGGGATTCCCGCAGCTGCCGAGGGATAAAAGGCTGGTCAGAGGAAGAGGTGAGCTGGAAACGCACCTGGTAGACAGGTCAGGAAGGGATCCCAGCGCTAAGGAAAGCTCAGGGTTCTGTTTAATCACGGTTTGCCAACGCTGAAAGCCCGGAGTGGACAGGAGAGAGATTTCTGGGCACAGTGGAGCCGTGATTATAGGAAATAAACAAAAAATGTGTTTGGGGTGCAGGCCTGGCCATCAGGCTCTGGGTCGGACTACCCCAGTTCCACAGGTCCGTTGTCACCTGGATCCCTCCCAGTTCAGTGCCATCCCCTGCCATGGGCAGGGACACCTTCCACCAGCCCAGATTGCTCCAACCTGGCCTTGGACACTTCCAGGCATCCAGGGGCAGCCACAGCTTCCCTGGGAAATTCATCCCAGGGCCTCCCCACCCTCACGGCCAGGAATTCCTTCCCAATGCCCCATCTATCCCTGCCCTCCCTCTGGGAGGGCAGGGATAGATGGGGCATTGGGAAGGAATTCCTGTGCCCTGTCCCTCTATGCCTTGCCCCCAGTCCCTCTCCAGCTCTCCCAGAGCCCCTCCATGCCCTTCCAGGGTCTCCCTGGATCCTTCCCTTCCCCACGCCACGTGACCCGCGTGTCACGTGTGTCACGAGTGGGGGGTGTGGGGGGGGAGTGGCCGGACGTGGCGTCAGCGCCGCGCGACCGGGAGAGCGGCGTGAGGAGGAGGAGGAGGAGGAAGAAGAAGAAGAGGAGGAGGAGGAGGAGGAGGCCGAGCGGCCTCGGTGAGTCCCGGTTGGGCCTCGCTGCCCCCCCTCGCTGTGCGTGTGTGTTTTTTGTGGGTTTTAGTGGGGAGTGGGAGCTTGGAGCAGCCTTGGGAGAAGGGAATCGCTGCCAGGGCTGGAGCCCCCCCCTCTGCTCTGGAGCCAGGCTGGGAGAGTTCCCCTGGAGGAGAAGAGAAGGCTCCAGGGAGACCTGAGAGCCCCTGGCAGGGCCTTAAAGGGGCTCCAGGAGAGCTGGAGAGGGACTGGGGACAAGGCATGGAGGGACAGCACACAGGGAATGGCTTCCCACTGCCAGAGGGCGGTTTTGGATTAGATATTAGGGATGAATTTCCCAGAGAAGCTGTGGCTGCCCCTGGATCCCTGGAAGTGTCCAAGGCCGGCCTTGGAGCAAGCCGGGAATAGTGGGAGGTGTCCCCCGCCCGCGGGATGAGCTGTGATCTTCGATGCCCCTTCCAACCCAAACCGTTCTAAGGATTTTGTGACCTTAAAAAAAAAAAAAAAGAGGGGGAAACGGCACAAACAACCCTAAAAGTGACGGGTTTGTGCTCTGACGTCGTAAACCCGAGGGGAAATCCCTCCGGTGTCGTTCCTCCCTCCGTCCCAGGCACTCCATCCCATCCATTTCCCTTCGGGTGTTGGCCGGAGGGAGCTGTTTTACCCCCCCAGCATCCCTCAGACATTCCCAGGAGGTTCCATCTGCCCCGTGGCTTTGGGGGAGGGAAGCCCAGGGTGGGTTCTGAGGGGTTTCCAAAAGCTGCCAGGGCTTGTGGTCCCTCTGGAAACCTGGAAGGTTTCCAGAGGGACCACAAGCCCTGGCAGCTTTTGGGATGCTCCTCTCTCCCCTTCCACGGAGCTGATCCCGCCAGGATGGGCAGAATCCCTCCGGGAATGCTGTTTTCCCGGTGTCCAGCAGCGCTGGGGGGGTGTTTCCATCCTCAGAGTGCATTCCCAGCCCCTGCAGGGCCCAGCTCCGAAACACCCCCCGGCTTTTTTGGGAGTGAAAATCCCGGAGAGGCTTTTCCGGAGGGAGGATGGGGAGGAGTTTGGCCGTGCTGGGATGTGGAGAGGGAGGAGCAAGGAAGGCTCTGGTTTCTCGTGGGGGGGAAGGGAGGCAAACTGAGGAGAGGTGTGGGTTGGGTTGGGGGAGAAACGGTGTGGGAAAAACCGGGAATATCGCAAGGATTTGGGGCCAGGTGTGGGTGAAATCATGGAATAACCACGTGGACTAGCCCCTGTTCTTCCAGGATGCGTGGAACTGCCTTGTCCATTCCCAATCTCGCTCCCCTGTGAGGGGTCTTCCCTTTTTTTTTGCTGGATTTGGAGCAAAGGAGGAGGGAAATACTCTGTTTTGTGCCTCGTTTCCCAAATGTGTCACAGCCACACACAGAATCTGTGCAGGATATCCGTGGAAGCCTTCCCTGGGGCTTTGATTCCCTGGCTTTGAAGTGGGGCTGTTGCTGCTGCTGGGAGGGTTTTTTTTCCTGGGAACAGCAGCCCTGGATTTCACAGGGAGCATCACAACCACTTCCATCTGCTGTGGAAGGTGTATAAACAACCTGCCTCCGGTGGGAAAACAGATAAGGATGCTCAAAAGTCAGGCAGGGAGAGGAATTCTCTGGGAAAGCCTTGGCTGGAGAAACGTCCTCTTGTCCAAGAGGATTTTTGGAGCTTGATCCAGCCCTTCCAGGAGTCTTCCAGGTGCTCTGTGAGGTGCTGGGTCCCTCCCAGCTCGAGATATTCTGTGCTGGAGGAGGAGGTTGGAAGGGATGAGATGGGGGTCTCCTCTTCCCTGTCTCCAGCATCCATCACCATCCATCAGCCAGGACAGCCAGAAATGATCATTTTTCCAGTCATTTCTTTGTGATCCAGCCCTTGGCTCGGGTTTTCCTGTCCAGCCCCTTGAGGGGGCTTTTCCTTCCCCTGCTCCCCAAGACAAGGCAGGAAGGGGCAGAGTCTCTCCTGCCTGGCACCTTTTGGCTTGTCCTGCTGGGAGGGGACAGTCCTGGCCCTGGAGCTGCCTGGGATCTGCGTGGCAGAGCTTGATCTGCACCAGGGGCTGCTTTGAGGTGCAAATGAGGAATTTAGGGGCTGTTGAGCAGCTCACAAATATTTACTGATCATCTTAAAGTCACACTCTCCTGTCTCCTTGCACGGTTGTCTCCACAAATCCACATTTTTGTTTGCCTTCCCTCGTTGTTTTTTTCCCCTCCAGAACCTCCTGGTCTCCGCCCCAGTTGTTTTTTCCACCTCCCTGTCCGTGGAGCTGAGGGTGGGACACATCCCCATCTGCTTCCCTGGCACGGGCTGCCCAGAGGAGCTGTGGCTGCCCCATCCCTGGAAGTGTCCACGGCCAGTTTGGAGCAGCCTGGGCTGGTGGAAGGACTCTCTCACTCCCACACCCCAAACCCGCAGTGTTCACCCCTGACCTCTTCTACCCCCAAACTTTCTGTTTTGCTGCTGAAAACTGAGTTTGCCTGCACCGATCCCACATCTTTCCTCACGGGGATGCTGAGAAACGATCCCAAATCTGCAGTGGAAAGCTCGTTCCCTCTGGTTCTTCTTTGCTCCAGTCTCCATCTGCAGGTCCTGGGCCAGTTTTCCCCCCACCCCGTGCCCTGGCTGAGCAGAGACTTTGCTCCTCGTCCTGTCTCCCGGGGCAAAGAGCAGCGCAGCACCCTGGATCTCTGGACAGCTCCTTGGTGCTTCGGGCCAGGATGGCCAAAGCACAGAATGCTCTGTTTGAACACAGAAAGCCTCTCGAAGCTACAGCTCCACTGCAAAACACACGTTCTCGTTGTTTGGAGCAAAGCAAAGCGATTTGGGTCTCATAAAAAAAAAAGGAAAAAAACGATGTTGTTGGTTTTTTTCTTAACTGTCACAGTCTGTGCCAGGTTGTTTTGTGGCTGCTGAGTGTCAGGTGACACCTGAGTTGCCTTGTACTCCGACTTCTGGTCGCTTGGGTGCTTGTCCTGCCGTGCCTTTGCGTGAGGTGATCATCCATAGGGAACCAGCTGCCCCATCCAGGGGGAACTCCGGCGTCTCCTCACTGTCTGTAGCGTAAAGGATAAATTAACAGGTGCTGCCTGTGAG